ACGATGATAAACATATCATTCATGTTGCGTAGTTATTTCAACATTGCAACGATAATTGAAAGATAAAAGAGGATCCAACTTTCAACAAGATTTAAGAAATTACATTTATCGTACAACGTATAATTATAAAGAAGCACATATTGACATAATTTTTATTTTATTGTCTTTCTTGTGGCAATTTTGCTAAAGTACATGTGTTATTTTTAGCGCAAGCGTGCGAAGTTTTAGGGGATTTAGCAACCATACGATTTGAATACGATAAATCTTACGAAAACCAAGTAACTTGATCTTTACAAAAAAAGCTCGCCTAAGAAATTAATAAAAAAGAAATCTTTTAAGACTCTTTGAAAGATACTGCTTCTTCCTAATATCGGCATTTAAAATCGGCATCTGATTATTGAGTGATCAAGATTAAATTTATTTTATATTATATCTTTACTTCTTGAAGTTGTGAATTTTTTTGCTTTCCACAGTAATCGCCGTCTGTGGCTCAATTTGTTTTTTACGATATTAAAGATAAACATCAATTATGAAATGTATAAAACCGTAGTCTATCGATATTAATATTTGATATTACATTTTAAATCGGAACCGTGTAAAAAATTTTAGATTGATTGAAGGACGATTGAGAGAGAGAGAGAGAGAGATATTTCGAATGTCGCTTTTCCCCGGCCACTTCGGTTCTCCAGATTTGGTGTGCACTAGCTTCGCTCATTCGGCGATTATAGCATTTGTACTAATGTGTGATTAGAATCGTTGAAGTTATTATTGTAGTTGAAAACAATTTTTTTGTTAATTAATTACATTGGAAAATTGATTATTATTGATTCACCGCTGTTTTGTCAGCTTGTTATTCAAATGGAAACATTGAAACAATACGTAAAAACGTATAGATCTAAAGTATGAATTATGACCTGATGAATACTATCAAGCGTATGTATATGCACGTGTTTGCTATACGCCCGAGCCTACTTCTGTTCTATTAATGATTCTAATAAGGAGAGTAAACATCATACGCGAGCACACGCGCACACGCGTAGACTGCCTGCCGCCGTGATCATCACGCGATACTAATGCGATGCTACGCGCCGCGACGTGGCCAGTAGCTATTATTAGTGGGTAACGAATCATTTTGGAATCTAGCGGGGATTAATGTCACATAGGTAGAGAATAAGATAATTATAATTTTGCTAATGTTTTGTTGTTTGAGACAATTATCATATTTTCGTTTGGACTCGAAACGTTCGGAACAACACCGATTTATATCGCAACAACGCCAATTGAATAAATTTTCATATTTTTTGTAATGTCTGTAAACATATTGCACAAATATGATTAAAAAGAGTAATAACAATGAGATCACAATTAATTTGATAGTTGCAATATAGCTAAAAGACTTTGCGTTATATAAATATATAAAAGTATTACAAGCATGTGCTGTTAAAGGGAAAGTGCACATTATGCACAGGAACAGGGATTAGGCTATTCTACGTTTATTGCCGTATCCATCACTTATAGGCTAAAGATAAAAATGGTTTGAAGATCCGAAAGAAAAAAATAATTTAAGGAATAAGAGAGTTGCGGCACGTAACTCTCTTATTCCTTAAATTATTTTTTTCTTTCGGATCTTCAAACCATTTTTATCTTTATTCCTTCCGGATACGGCAATAAACGTAGAATAGCCTAATCCCTGTTTCTGCATAATGTGCACTTTCCCTTCAATAAAACCTTTCACTATTTATGGCCCTCAGACTTATAGCCTTCAAGACTATAACCTTCCCTATAAGAAATACCTAGAGCACTTGGAACGAAGATCCCTCTCATGAGTTCAGTTTTTGATCACAGCTCGAATCAGCAACATCTAATAAAGACTTTCCACAAACGTATCTTGATTTATTCAAAATTATCTATTACGTGGCTTCTCGTACATAACAGTACTCGAAAAAATTACGCGTCAAAATGTATTTAGCTCTGCATTGATTTACATTTCTAAGCACCACTTGCGTGTTTAATTGTTAGCCTCATTTAGTATCAAAAGACATGACGGATAATGATTTATCAATGGTACCGAACGAAAAAGATTTAACTCTCTCTTGCGCAGTACATATAGTAGATATTACGATTATACATCAATAAACAGTTTTTGTTAAGAAGAAAATCCAAGAAGCGGAATGGGTTAAAAAATACATTGTACATTTATCGCTCATGTAATTTGTAAGTTTTTATCAATACGGATACATAAACGCAAGAAAATATAAAGACGATCGTAATGATAGGCTGCGCGCTTTTTTACTTAAATCATTAAAGTTTTCGTTTAAAGAAAATGTACGTCCAATTTTTAACTCTTTAAAGATAAAGAGAGATAAATAGTTTGCAGTATAATAGAATATATATTTATTTAAAATCTCAGTTTTCTCAATATTATAAATTTTCTATTATGAGATACGAATATATGTATTTACTTGCTTTACGTGCGATGGAACTACAAATATACGATTTATAATGAAAATGCATCGCGCTCTTTCATCGCAAACGGAAAAAAAGATAAGTTGATAAATTTATTTGAGGCGTGTACGTGACTAGTACGCATTGATAACCGATAAAATACCATGACAGAGCATTGATATTCGTATCATTCAAGTACATATATTTATAAGATTTTTTAAAATTTGATTTAGATTTGATTTTAATATAAGATTTCAAATTTCTTTGATGCATTCACGTGTATGTAACCAGTGCACGCACTGATAACCGATAACCATGATTAAGCATTGATATTCGTATCACTTAAGTACATATATTTATAAGATTTTTTAAATTTGATTTAAATTTGATTTAGATTTGATTTTGATATAAAATTTTAAATTTGTTTGATGCGTGCACTGGTCACGTGCACGCACTGATAATCGATAATCATGACGGAGTATTGATATTCGTATCATTCGAGTGCATGTACACTTATAAGATTTTTTAAGCAGACAAAATATAAAAGCAACAAAAATTATTTATTTTTTCTTTTCTCTATTGTTCTCAGTCTTTTTTTCTAAATTTTATTTCAAGAGAAAAAAGCATTATATACCAGAGAAGAAATAACTCGTTAATTGTTGCGCGCACGTGTGTGGATTTTTTTAGAAATTGAAACGATTGTTTTTTTGTTTTAATGCTGACATATTTATCAATGACTTTTTAGTCGACGATAGAAATTCTATTTGTCGACGCATGTCTATACTTTGCAAGAAATAGGCTTAACTTGAGAATCTAATGAGAAGTTGGTATCAAATTTCGCAAAGCATTGAAATAATAGCTAATAACAGCTTGACTGACAAAGAAGGTCTCCTAACACCTTGGATGGGATATAAGTGATGGAATGTAATAAACAAGTTTTTGTAAGGCTGTAATTTCCTACACAATATATCATACATTGCAAAATCACACATATTCATCATAATTATAATTGGAATATATATCCAAATAGTAATCTTAATTTGTTAAACTTTTTTTTTACCATGCAATTTTTATTGCAGGTCACATAAACACTTTGATTTTTATTATATAGCTTATGTTGCCGAACAAAATTTTAATATTTTAAGAAAATTCTCCATTATCAAAAATCTGCCAATGTGCTGTACATATGTTTAGGAAAATTTTGTAAATTAATAATTCAGTTTTTATATCGGTAATTAATCAAATCATTCGATACTTAACGATAACTTAAATGTAGCTACGAAATTATAAAAGGTACATACATTTTATAAGTACAAAAAAGACAATATACGCATTTGATGATATTGGAACTTGTTCGATTTTATATTAAATGTATATACAAAAAAATATATTTTTGTATTCCAAATAATATAAATCATTTCGATATAATTATATCAAATTGTAAAAGTTAATATTTATTGATATAAATTGCGCGTTGATGACGTATATCTTTATCAAAATTTAAAATGCATATGTATTTGTATTTTGTTTCCTATCGGTTTATTTAAGCTTTTCGCAAATAACAGTTTGCAATAAACTTGTAATAAACCGATGACAACATTGCAGTTATTTATATGTACAAAATAAGTCAACAGTAATCACAATCACAATGTTAAAACGTTTCATCGTATTTACCAAACGCTTATAATGTTTTCCAAATTGCTATCTTAAGTAAAATATATATATATATATTTATATTTATAACATTATTTAGAGTAACAGCGTAAATACGCAATAATCATCTCGTATATCTTGGTATTTAATTTAATAAACAAGTAGAAAAAAGAATGTGATACAATATCAGGAATGTGTATGTTCTATCTATCCCACTTATATATGTTAATTATAAATATAACTGTAGCGATACATATAGTACAAAACGTTGCCAAATATTTATATATGTACGATACATAACATTAAATTTTTTTTTAAACCAAGAAATGCATGTTTAATCAAAATTACAATTAACTTTTTAATTTATATCACATATATATGCCATTGTATAATTTTCTAAAAATTACTTAATTTATTTAAAAATATGTAGAAATTAATCAGATCAAATCGTCATGTTTTATATACAAATAAAAACTTTGTGGCAACAAAATTTATACTTTGTCTTCACTATATGACGCATCGATTAACAATTAGGTATACAAAAAGATGCTTTATCTATTTTGGGAAGCTTATCAACTTTCTACGATATATACTACCATGATATTTTTAACAAGCTACATCAACAAATTATACATATATATATATATATATATATATATATATATATATAA